AAGGTCTAGGGTGTTACATTATCGATACCCCCTTGAGAACCGATACCAAAAATGGACATTGGAAAATTAGTTTCGATACCTAACTGGCTGGTCTTGGAACTAAGTATCAATACTCTCACCCCTAAAAATACCCTGATTTTTGCCTCTCATAAAAACAATATCGGTATTATTCTTACAATATCAATTCTCATCTTAAAATGCCTTGTTTGGGCAAGAATTTAGCACTCAAACTCACCCATATTGCTATTTTGGGGTTCCCAATCATTATTAATGTTTTATGTGATCACAAGGGGTTATAAATAAGGCTTTTAAACATGTTAGAACTCTAAAACATGAAATTTACCATGAAAATGCTTAACATGTTTCAAACTCGACTCATAAGCAATACTGCATTTATAATGACCCACAACGGTATGAAGGATTTGTGAATGTGTTCCATGGTATTCTAACTGCTAGAATTTTCCTCAAAATCAACCAATGGTCAATTTCTCTTTTCCCCTAGCTTTAGAGCTCTCCCACACTTCTTTCACTAAACACAACAAGAAATAAACTACTAAGTTATCTAGGGGCTTGGGTTAGAGTTAAGAACACTATAAATAACTTAAATCCACTTAAAACAAGCTTGGACCACTTAATTCCCTCAAACCTCCTTAAAACTCAATTTTGGTTTCTATGGCTAAAACTTATGATATGAGGCTTAAAATAAAACTTGAAGGGTGTGGATTAATATTCTTATCTTGATTAAACCAAAATAAACTTGAAATCCTTAAAGTTTCTCACTTTGTTTCACCTTGGAATAGAAGAAGAAGAGATAAAATATGAAAGGAAGAGGAAGAGTGTTTGATGATGTTTGGGGGAGTGGTTTCGTGAAATCATAAAATAGAGAGATGCTTCAACTCTTGATTTAAAAATAGGTAAATTGCACTTTTGGCCCCTCTTCTTGTTTTCTTATAATATAATATTCACCACTCTCTAACTCTTAGGACCAACTCAAGCCCACTATCAACTTAATTTCGTCCAAACTATTTTAATATATCCTTTGGGCTCAATTTATGAGTCCCAAGTCAATCCGACTACTGACCCGCGATTCGGGGCGTTACATTGAAGTATACTTTAAAGTTCATCTAAATGTTATATTTCATTTTCAACTTCCTTTGGATATATTTATAAGCCAATTAGGTTTAATTCAATTTCAAGTATCGATACCAATTATGATATCAATATTATTCTTAGGATATCAGTATTATTGAATAGTACCAATACTAAATCGATACACTAGAATTTAACATCTTACCACGATATTGATATCGAAGATAAAATATCAATGCAGATAGAACAATATTGATACTTCAATTGATACTTACTTTATAATTTACCCAATTTAAAAAATGTCCAACCATATCTTTAGATCCTAAGACCTCATATCAGTCTCGCATAATTACCATCCTCATACTTTAAGGCTCCATCAATAAGAATTTCTCACAACACTGGACCTTTTAAAACTCTAATAGATACCATAAGGGTATTTTGATAGTTTTCCTCTCATAAGAATTTTATAATCATTTCACTCATACTAATATTTAAATTACTTTTTTCTTTTACAAGCAATTCAAATACTTAATTATTTGGGGATCTTCTAACATTTTAATCAACAAAATTATTTTGATCATTTTGATTCATTAGGATAATTTAATCATTTCTCCTCGCTCGTGGGTATATTAAACATTTACATATCGAAATTGAGAAATCTAATTATTTAACATGAGGGTCTTATAATTTTCGATCAAATTTTAAATATTTAACATTATAATTTAGGACTAATGACAATTTGATAATTTTACTTGTTTACTACTCGAATAATATATTGTGTATACATACAAGGTAAATGAAGCATCACATTTAAGAATTTATGTTTCTTTTTCAAAAAAAATAATTTTAATTTTTACTTTTCATTATTAATGATAATCTTAGTCTTAGTTATATGTTATATCTTTAAAAAAATTAATTTAATGTAGTAGTTAATTATTTAACTATTTTTCTCTTGTATATATTTTTTTATAGAAAACTGCAAGTTTTATTAAAAATAAAAAATATTTAGAACTACAATGAAGATTTACAAGTATAACCGTAAATTAAAATGTAATTAGGACATTTTTCCTATCACCATTGACACAAAAACTGGCAATCTAGATCATACGAGGACCAAAGAAGGAAAATATTAAAATCCTAACTAAAAAACTCGAATAAAATAAAAATATGAACATGGTCCAAAGCAGGAAAGATCGTCATGGTAACAAATAAGTTTCATCTTGATCAGTTGTGGGGATGTCAAATCCAATCATGAGAAAAAAAAGATAAACAAAATAACGACCAAACAACCGAAAACTACCAAAAGGCATAGATAAACATGTCACAAAAGCATAGATAAATGTGTCACAAAGATATAATTATTCTTAATAAAAACTAAAAAAGAAACAAAGAGAAAAAGAAAACTGACAGTCGGTTCACAAAGATATAATTATTCTTACTAAAAACTAAAAAAGAAACAAAGAGAAAGAGAAACTAACAGTCTGCAATCAACATCAAAATTGGTATCGTCGTCTGTTAAAGAAAATCAAAAAAAAAAAGTTGATTTGATCTATAAAAGAGACACAACCTGTAAAGAAAAAAAGGAGAGAGCAACTAGGGTTACTTTTCTTTTGTATTTAAATTTAAATTATTTTAGAGTTATATGAATTTGTAACGCATGCGAGTAACACATATTGATTATTAGTTAATTAATAATTGTATTTAAAATAAAATATTAATAATTAAGTGTTTAAAAAGTGTGAAGTGCATAAATGATTTTTCAATTATAAGGTACTATTTTGTTGAGTCTTCCGACTACTAAAAATTATAAAATGGTCATCCGATTATAGAATATTATATCTAACCAGTAAAAATATAAAATATTCACCAAACTATTCATACGTTCCAAGCTATTCATTTTCTATTAAAAATTGATAGCAACTTAAGTTGGACGTAAATTTACTGACTGAGATATGATAATTTGATATCAGAATCTCAAATGATTATAATATCTTAATTATCGTGTTAATGTCCACATCAAATTTTCGTTAATTTTTTAACTAAAGCTAATAAGTTTAGAACATATAAATAATCAAATGATTATTTTATAAATTGATAGATTCAATAAAATAATATTGTATAATTAGAAGATTATTTTTATAACTTCTATTAGTCGAAAGATAATTTATATACTTATCCCTTAAAAATATCAATCGAGACCAACACTAACTATTCGAAGAAACATGAAAGGCTATTAACACAAACTTTGCTCTAAAGTATAGCAAAGCTTGCTGCTTTGCTTCTACGAGTAATAAACGAATCAAACCATTCAACGATTCTCCAAATACGATGCGCTTAAAGCCTGACCATTGATCCCTCACCACAACGTCTCAAAACTCCACGTGTGAAACATCAACGATCACCATTGATCTTACATATAACTTCAATTTTTTTAAATATTATGGGTGGTAATTTTTTTTAAAAAAAACACTCAAACAAAAATTTAATATTTTTGAAAAAAATAAGGCTGTTTTATAATTATTTTGAGATCTAATTTATTTATTTTATATACGTGAAATGTCATAATATGATAACGAATTTCATAAAATATATTAAAAATTAAAATTTATAATATGAATTAGAATAAAAATTATATAAAACTTGTCTCGGTTCACAAATTTTAATTTTTTAATATATCTTATGAAACTCGTAATCATTTCGTTACAAATTTCTCTTATGTTATATCAAATAATTTAAAGTTTAAAAGAAGTTTAATTTTAAAAAAAATTTGTCTCACCCAATGTTATTAAAACCGGATCGGACCGGTTGGTTCGACCGGTTGAACCGTGAACTAGTGGCATGTCCGGTCCGGTTAACTCTCAAAACCAGATGAGCACAGAACTGGTAAAGAACCGGAAGAACCGGCTGAGAACCGGTAAAATCGGGGTGAACAGGCTGAAAACCAGTGTGAACCGTCGGTTCTATTTTTTTCTTTAAAAAAAATTAAACCAAACGACGTCATTTGTTAAACGAGCCAAGTCGAACTCGAGTACTACTGAACTCGACTCAAACTCGAAAATTTTAAAAGTAAACTCAATTCGACTCAAAAACTCACGAGTTAAAAATTATCAAGTTCAACTCGAACTCGAAATGTAATATTGAAACTTGAACTCGAAAATGCTTGAACTCAAAAAAAAATTTAGAAGCTCGATTGAAGCCTGAAATTCGAGCTCAATTGAAGCGAAAGAATAGTTCGCTCTGTGCTCACCAAAAAGTTCTATGATTTTGAATGTCAAATTACCTCTAGTATTTATAGAAGTCAGTTGAGATGCTCTTCTATGTTTCTTAGTCATGTGAGATTGTTTTGTTCTCATATTTTTACTCTTTAGACTTTTGGGATGATCTTCTATGTTTCTTAGCCATGTGAGATTGTTTTTTTAAAAAAAATTAAATCAAACAACATCGTTTGTTATTATTTTTTTCAGCCCTAAATTTATTTTTTGATTATAGTTATATAATTATATTTATTATTTAATATGTTTTACCTTAAATATTATGTTGTAGTTGATTTAAATCATTTTGTTTCACTTGATTTTATGTTTTTTTATCTTATATATATCATGACTTGTGATATTTTTATACCATTTAATATTGTAAACTTAAAAAAAGTGTTATATATATATTAATATTACTTTGAATATTATGTAAAATTTAAAAAAAATATTATTTTATATAAAATTCGGTTAAATCACGATTGAATTCGATTAAACCAATAAACTAATAAATCAGTACCTTCATCGATTCAAAGTGCGATTTTAAAAACATTTGTCTCACCCAATATATTTAGCCAACGAAGCCTACGTATAACACCTTAAAACACCTATATATAAAAACGTAATTTCTCGTTTCTCATGAAATAGCGATTTATATAGTAAACCGCCATGGATTCTCCTCAGCAACAAAGAACCGCTTCCACACCGCCACGGCCTCCTCCTCAAAATGGAGATTATTTTCCGATCCTCATAATGGCATTTGCTTTTGTGATTATCGGCTCCACAGTAAGCGCCTTTGTTTTTTCTTCTCCCCACTCTGTATCTGTACGCTTATATCTCGGTAATGCCTTTTGATTGCTTCTTGATTCTCGTCGGTTTGTTCATGTTTTAACTTCATAATTCTTACTTCTTTTCCTTATCCTGCTTTGTTTGAATGAAGTTTGAGTGTGTATTTTGAATTTTTTTTGAGTGATGATTTGAATTCTGTTATGTATTCTTTAAAGGTTTTTTTTATACGTTATGCCAAGCGACTCTTATTTTACTTATTTCTGATTAGTTTTCAAAATCCTAAAATTGAATCCGATTGAGCTTTAGCTCGATTGACTTTTTTAAAAGCCCATCTGTTTGATTGTGTTTAAGTACGTAATTGAGTTCTATATATGAATTTGGGATTATGGATAGTTTAAGCATTTTATATAAAAAAAATTCCTACAGTTGAAAATAGTATCCATAATATCACTTAAATGTTTCCAAGGCCCTGCTTGGTTGCTTAACATTCTCTTCAACCGGAGAATTATTGCTTCTAAGATTGTAGAAACCTCTAATGAATGTGCAAAAACACATTTAGTACTGAAATTCATGTGTGATGATGAGATTTTTCAGGTAATAATTCCATTATCTTCAAGTACTAAAAACACCTTATCCATTTTGCATCAAGTCCCAGAAGGTTATGTTGGTGTGTATTGGACGGGTGGAGCCCTTTCAAAAAGAATAACAGAGCCAGGTAACGTTATAAACTTATGGTCTTCTTTTTTCATTCATAATAGAGGAGTGAGCCAGAAATTTTATATTGGATTGAGAAAAACCATATATTTTATCAACTTTTGAAGATGCCTCCTTATAATGTTATAAGTACTATATGCAGGATTCCATTTTCAGATGCCTCTGATAACTCACTATGAGCCTGTTCTAGTTACTCTTCAAACAGATCTGGTAACCTTTTCCCCAAATTGTACACATTGTGTACCACTTGGCCTATGGCCTATTTCATTTTATTTTTATTTATAAAAAAGAAAATGTAGGTGAGGGATATTCCTTGCGGTACTAAAGGGGGTGTGATGATCAACTTTGAAAAGATAGAGGTAAGGCTTAAATTACTCTTAATTCGTATTTGTAAGTGCAGTTCAAGGTGACTTTCCCCCCCTTGTTGATGGTTGAATTACAAGGTTGTCAATCGGCTTCGAAAAGAATATGTATACGAAACACTTCTCAACTATGGCGTGCACTATGACAACACATGGATATACGACAAGATTCATCATGAAATCAATCAGTTTTGCAGCTCTCATACACTTCAACAAGTCTATATAGATGTGTTTGATCAGGTAAGAGAAGTTGCAACTTGTAACTCATTATACATTCAACATTCAAGGGTAAGGTTTTTAGTTCCATTCGCCCGTGGAATACATGATATATGAAGTCCTATGTTACCCATGTCCAAAATGTACCATATATGGATGTCAGACATGAGCCCTTCATGAAATATGAAGAAATGGAATTACATAGATGGAGTATATTCAAACTATATTATCTTTTTCTTCGACAAATTGATGAAACTTAAAGGTATCATCAATTAAATCATAACATCTTCATTTTTAGATTGATGAGAAGATGAAAGAGGCTCTTCAGGGTGATTGTACACGCTATGCACCGGGAATTGAAATTCTTAGCGTACGAGTTACAAAGCCAACAATTCCTGAAAGCATTAGAAGAAATTATGAACAAATGGAAGAGGAACGTACGAAGGTATTAACTCAGTAATCTTCTATGGTCACGTTAGTTCCTGTTTCGCTTACCCGGTTTTCCTTTTTTTTTAAAAAAAAACATATCAAGCTATAATGTTATTGCGTAGGTTTTAATTTCAATTGAGAAACAAAAAGTAGCTGAGAAAGAAGCAGAGACCCAGAAAAAGATGGCTGTGAGTGAAGCTGAGAAGGCTGCCACTGTTAGCAAGATCATGATGGAACAGAAGTTGATGGAGAAAGAGAGTTCCAGGAGACAGCAGGAAATTGAAAACCAAATGTACAGTGCTCGTGAAAAGAGTCTAGCAGATTCGGATTTTTACCGGTGAAATCATCTTTCCCTTTTATCATGTCAACTTACCATATGCAATAGAGGTGTTAAATATCAGCGTTCTTTATCTATTTTTAGTGTGATGAAAGAAGCTGAAGCAAACAAGTTGAAGCTGACTCCAGAATTTCTTGAGCTCAGATTTATAGAAGCCATTGCTGATAACACAAAAATTTTCTTTGGAGACAAGGTTCTCTACTCTCACTCACCATGCCCCTTTGTCTTCCACTTTCATTGGCTCATTCATTTCTTTGACCTTTGTCTTTCACTATGAACCCTGATTTCTTCTGCAGGTACCCAATATGGTTTTGGATCAAAGGTTGCTTGGTAACTTCATTCAGAATATGTCTAATCAAGTGCATGGTTAGAAGCGAGTAAAGTCAAATGCTTAAAGTTTTCAGGTAATTACTGTCAAGTAAAATGTCGATACAACGTAGTAAAAAAAGAAGAAGGTTCAATGGATCTTTTTCTTGATGAAATTTTGGAGCAAGACCTGATTTTGCACTTGTTTATGGTAATTGTTATTAATTTGTGTTGGAATCTTTTTTATTCGAATGAATGACTCGAATCTGCAAAAATACATGGCTTTTTGTAATCACAGAGCTTTTAACAAAACTCAAAGTTTATGATAGTAAATTGTCATTACTCATTAAGCAAATAAATAGTGGAACTCAATCAAAATAAATTACGAGCTTTGAGTCTCTAACACGTACACTTCAACCTCTTGTGATTGAATCCGAATTTAGCCGATTATGTATCAGATGGATTTGATTTAAATAAGGTTGTCTGATTTGCACCATCAAGCAGTGGGCATGAGTGGGGATAGCTCAGTCAGTTTTTTCATCCAATGACCAGCGTGCCTTCCATATGATGGAGTGAGAGAGAAGCCTTTCAGTTTTCCACCTGCTAACCTTAGCTGCAAAACGAAAGAGAAACGATGCATCTTCAGTGAGAAAGAAAGTCCACCCGGCACGTATCCGGACATAGATACTAGAATATGGGACCATTCGAGTAGATGAAACAACTTGAACATATTCATGCCAAACATATCCGTCACATACAGGCTAACGTATTTCATGTTAGACGCACAAATTTCATAAAGATTAACTTGTGAAGGAAACTTTCATAGTGCTTATCCATCCATGCTTGGCTCTCCAAATGTAGAGATGTTTTTCATCCATAAGATTAACCATAACAAGTGCACGGATATACGACCTCAGGTATCACACCGACGGTTCCCTTCCTCTCAACCAGTAAATACTTTGCTATAGTATCAATATGTCAATTATCAACGAATGGTCATTTTAAATGTAAATAGTACATATACTATGTGTACAAGTTCTAACCTTTATTGTAATTAGTACATCCTGTTCGGGATGACCAGTAACACTAGTCAGTTCAACACACTTTTGAGTAACTATGTTAACTTATGAGCTCCTACAATATGCAATGCAGCGATATAATTTTTTTCCGATCAAAATACCTGTGATATTGTAAAAAATACAATTTAATTCTTCTACCGGCTATCATAGTTGCATGATGATTGACTTAAAACACTCACATTTCTAGGTGATCAAGAGTGGAGACCCTTCATCCTAGTTTTACTTTTACGTGCAGGGGCTTAGCAGTCCTTGATGACTTCAGAGTGGTCCACAAGGGCAAAACATGCTCCATGGTTGAGCCTTGTTTAGGAGAGAGAATTGAAAATATATTCAGGAATAGCATTAATATCCGCATTCGAAAATACGACGGCACGTGAAATCATTAAGAGTTAGAAAATATGCTGAAAAGAGAAAGAATGAAAAAGAAAACAATTCATATTGAGCTTGCAGAAGCAATCAGGTTGTATGTGTCTTGGTAAATAACCTACTCAGGTGCAAGATTTGTGAATCATTTTCAATATTGTGGAGCTTATGCAAAGTAAATTGGCTTCGTCGGAAAGAAAAATTACATAGAATTTACTTAAAAGTTATTTTGCTTTGACTCTTCATTTTTCTTTAAGTACTTGATCTTGATACCTGTATCCGACACACCTCCGGACAGGGTATGGGAATATAAACTTTCAGGGACCTCCAAATAAATAGAAAAGTATTTTAAAAAATTGAAAACATTTGTGACGAACACACAGTATGGTCCGAGTAACATAGCTTGAAACAATTATATGACAACCTTCCAGGAAATTTATATCCGGACCAACATTCGCTAAAAGTTGACCTCAAGGGAGTAACAGCAATGGAGGTTACGGTTATTTACCTTGGCCAGATTCTATGAAATGTCGCAGAAGAATCGAGCTCCTTTCGAAGTTCAGCGAGTCTAAAGCTAGGCACCTGACAGCTTTGTAATTTGCTATGCAGAGGGGAAAAGGAAATCACCAATTACTTACGCAATTAGAGAAAAGAAAATAGAAAGATAAGTCATAATAAGATAAAAATCTGGTGAACAATGCCCTAGTTTCGATATACTATGGGGTGCAAGGACAATAGGTTTGAAATATGCCTTACCATACGGCATAAAATCATGTATTCGGAGATTATAATTAATCTTGTCCTGAGACCGAAGACCTAGCATTTTCTATGCGGTACAGTGGGCAAGATGTTTCAAGTTTAAGACATGTATGGCTTTTCTAAGATGTTAGCTGCATTTAACAATATGGAAGTCTTTACGAAAACCAAACTTACCATACATATGGAACATTGTCAGAGAGAGAAAAGAGAACCAAATGGCGAGCGGGTTTTCGGTAGTAATTCGAGCAAGAAGCATTCCCAATGCCATGCCAATCATTGTTGCCATGGTCTCTTGGTTTCCTTCCTGCCATTATTTTTGAAACAAAAAGAACAAAAAATATATTCAGTACTCTGACTCTCCCTTTACACAACAGGTTCTTGTCATTGTCTTCCAATCATCATAATCACTTTCGAGGTACCTTAAAGGATATATATGCTGCATTATTTGGGAGGGCAAAATGTTGTGTGATAGCAGCTCTGGTTGCTCCACTGACAACACCATAGTTACATATCTCGCTCAATAGCCCACGATCTACGTACTGTACGTTGCGATTCAAAACGCGGTACGAACGCGTTCCACCCCACGAATCTCGTTTCAGTTCGTCCGTTCCAATTCACGGTTCGTTTGCGTACCGGAACGGTGAAATTAGTGTACTAAAAACCCATAGCAAAAATAATGGAAGTATAAACCCCATGAAAGCAAACCAAAGAAAGAAGAAACCCACCACAACAAACCAAAGAAAACAAAAACCCTCGCAGCAGAAGTAAAGGAAACAAAAGCCCATCACAACAAAAACAAAGAAACAAATATAGGGGTAAGGATTCAGTAGGAGAAGGGGCGGTAACGAAGACGGTGGAAGGGCCGATCTTGCTAGTCGGCGGTAGAGTTGACAGATTTTTTTGATAGGTAATTTGGTAAAAGAAAAGAAAGGAAGATGGACTAGCATTTTAGAGAAGGAAAAGAAAGGAAGATGAGGAAGCGTTGAAGTGTGAGAAGAAAAAAAGTAAAGTTAATATTTCAGAAACCCAAGTAAATACCAACTCTTTTTACTGTTGTATTTTTCATGTTTAAGATATTGGTTTAATTATAAATTTAGTCCTTCAAATTTATAAATTTAGCCCTTCAACATTTAAGTATTGAAGTTACTGAATGAAATCTATAGTATTGAAGTTACTCTAAGATATTTGAAGTCTTGAAGTTACTTATAAAATTTGATGTAGAAAAATAGCAACTTAAGAAACTGGTACATCGTATCAATTTATATGGTACATTGTACCGAGTGATCCAAAATGAGTCTACCCCCCTCGTATCGAATTTTAGGGACCTAGCGAATTGCGATCCCGTTCTACGTTCCCGTACCGGAGCGTACTGCGATCCATGTGACTATGGACAACACCAGTTTCATTGGGAAATTATGCAAGAAAACACATGATTAGAAGTTCAAAACGAGCCTCTTCCGTAACAAGAATTGCTTCATCTTGTACATAATAACAAGAAGCTTTGTAGGTAATAGAGTGCTTAATGCAAAAAAAAAAAAACAAACAAACAAATGTGCTCCGCAATGTACAAATGGCTCAAAAGAACCAATAACTATCATGTCCCAGCAAAGCTATCAGTCAAAAGTTCTTAGTTTCAAGGAATAACTTACTAAATGATCTCGACAAGCTTCCTAAGCAAACAATGAAAATAAAGGCTGAAGGGAACAAAGTGGAAAGAAGATCCATCAACATTCCTACAATAAAATACGGAAGCTTTAGTTGTTATTTGAAGTTAAAAATTTTAGGAGATAACAAAATCACTAATACCTTCCGAATCCACATAAGTAATCAAAAGTAAGAACTGGTTTCATTTACAAGGATGCCAAAACCAAAGTCTAACATGTACGTTCAAGAGTTTAGAATAAAGGAAAATCGAGGCATCAATTATACAGACCGAAAGCTTAATATGATTCACCTATATACATGATTTATAGCTTGACAAAGGAATGTAAAAGCCATTACCCCAAAAAACTGATTGTCACAAGCTATGTTACTCGGTCTTGGATGTGAACTGTGTAAGTCTTAGATATGAGTACATGTCCGACACGAGTGTCCAGTTTATTTTCTAAGTTATCTATATATTTGGAGCATACATGACCAAATATTTGTCTTACTCGCGTCTCGGATAAGAAAACCTCAAGAAAAATGAATAGTTGAAGCAATGTCCACTATTATGAGTATGCTACTCTGCCCATGGGCAGGCATTTGCACTGTTGTAAATGCATACACGTAGAGGGCAGAGAGAAAGATCAAAGATCTGTAGTCATTACAGCAAAGCAATTTCTCTAAAAGAAACATCGACATACCTAAATCATTCATGAGATCTGCAACCAAACACCACATTTTAGTATTACTATCAAGATTTGATCCCTGATGCAAAACCATTACGGTGTCAGACTCAAAACGAGAGCTTGAAAAGACGGCTTCGATAAAGAAGAAAAATACATCAATGAAGTCTCAATGAGCAAACCTGGTAAAGTGTGAATAATATGCCTTCGAGCATTCCCGTTAGATCTTTCAATAACCACTACGAGAATCACAATAACCATAACTCTTTATCAGAAGACCTAAGGTTGTTGGTTTTTTGGCAAATTTTGAATCCCACATTGGTTTTGTATAAGGAGGAGGAGAAATTCTTTTGTTATAAATAGAACCCTTATCCTCCTTAGTTTAACATCCCACAAATATAAGCCTTCTTCTATATTAAAGGCTATTTGTACTCTCTCTCTCTTTGTAATATTTCATCTATTAGTGAAATATTATTTTAGTAGTGTTCGAGGACTTAGGCATAATTTTGGCCTAATCTCATTAAATTTTGGCGTGCTCTTTTATGTCTATTTAATAGCTATTATCAGGTATAATTGTTGTTAATTATTGTCCTATTAAAATTACTTGTTTGGTAGTTCTATCTAAGTAGAGTGGGTTTTAAGAGGAACCATTGTGACCCCTCCACTCTTTCCTGGGAATTTACCTTGGGGTGATTTTTAGTACAATCGTTTTCACACTAGTCACCTAGATAATAGTTTTCAAGGTGAATTTGTTATTATTGGTGGAAATTAACCCGAATTCCACAACAATTGGTATCAGAGCTCTTGGTTTATTTTAGTATGCTTTGTGGTTGCGGCTTAGGCTGATCTTGCACATCAAAAAAAATTTCTTTGGGCTAATTGTCATTCCGCATTGACAGCTATTTAATAGAATTTGTAGCAGAAATGGCAGACGACACAAAAACATCCACATTGTCGTCAAAAGTTTCTTCATATTCAATTTTGACAAAAAATGATGTGACAAATGTTAGATTTACAGTGAAGATTTTTTATGGCACCGGTCATTTCGACATGTGGCAAAGTGAGGTTCTAGATGTCCTATTTCAACAGGGTCTAGACATTGCTATTGAAAGAGAGAAACCAGATGATGATGAGGAGAAAGAATGGAAGAGGATCAATAGATTGACATGTGGTACTATTCGATCGTGTCTTTCTAGAGAGCAGAAGTATGCATTTTCTAAGGAAACTTCTGCAAGTAAATTGTGGAAGGCACTGGAGGAGAAATTTTTGAAGAAAAGCGGTCAGAACAAGCTCTACATGAAAAAGAGATTGTTTCCACTTCAACTATGTATCAGGTACCACTCTGAATGATCACATTACTAGATTTAATCAGATGGTGACTGATCTGATGAATATGGACGTAACTTTTGAAGACGAAGATTTGGCTCTGATGTTGATGAGATCACTTACTGATGAGTTTGAGTATCTTGAAACTACTCTACTTAATGGGAAGGTTGTTGTGTCTCTCAGTGAAGTAAATGTTGCCTTGTATAGTTATGAATTGAGAAAGAAAGACAAACAAGAAAACACAAGTGTCGAAGCAGAAGCTCTTGTTGTTAGAGATCATTCGAAGAGTCAGAATAAAGGAAGGAGAGGGAGATCGAAGTCAAAGTCCAGATTGAGCAAAGATGAATATGCCTTTTGTCGAGAAAAAGGTACTAGAAGAAAGAATGTCTCAGGCTAAAGAATAAAGACAAACCTAAAAGGGGAAAGGCTATCTCAGAATAAAATGTGGTCTAGCATGATGATTCAGATTTCACATTCGCTACTATGCCATCAACCAGCTGTTCCAGTTCATGGCTGTTAGATTCAGATTGTAGCCACCATATGACCCCCAATAGAGAATGATTCTTTGATTTTAAAGAACTAAAAGGTGGAATTGTCTACACAACAAATAATTCCTCTCTTGACACACTTGGGATTGGTTCAATTCGCTTGAGGAATCAGGATGGATCAATCAGAACCTTAACAGGTGTCCATTATATACCAAATTTAATGAGAAATCTCATCTATGTAGGAACCTTAGAGTCAAAAGGTTTAGAAGTAAGGGCAAAAGATGGGATTAAGGATTATCTCTGGTGCACTGGTGATAATGAAGGGAATCCGGAAAAGAAACAATGTGTATTACTTTCTGGGTAGTACAATTATTGGGACAATAGCAGTGGCAGCTTCTACTGATGAACATGAGTCACAAGCAAACAGGTTATGGCATATGCGCTTGGGGCATATTAGTGAAAAATCCTTGAAATTACTGATAGATCAAGGATTATTGAAGGGTGCTCGGGCTTACAAATTAGTTTTTTGTGAGCATTGCATCAAAGGGAAGAAGACGAGGGTGAAATTTGGAACAACAATCCATGGTACTAAAGGTATTTTGGATTATGTTCATTCAGATGTATGGGGCCTTCCAAGACAACTTCATTGGGAGGAACACACTATTATGTCACCTTTGTTGATAATTTTTCCCGAAGAGTTTGGGTATATAGAATGAAGACAAAGGATGAGGTGCTAGGTGTAACATCCTCCATATCGAGTTAGTGATTAAATTATGTGATTTAAAAATTCAGTGACCAAATTAGATAAATTGAAATGTTTTGTGTAGGATCAATTAACAAAAGGATGAACTAAAGGGGTAAATGAGTCTTTTAATAAGGGAAATAATTAAATATTAGTTGAGGATATTTTATACCCACGTGGAAGGCAATTGAGGGATAACTAAAGTTTCAGACTTATCTTCTTCTTCATTCTTCTTCATTCTTCTTCTCCATCGTGAAGCCAAGCTAAAGGTGAGTTTTCTTGTTAATCAAAAGATGATGGAGTTAGGAAGGATTAAAGAAATGAAGTAGAAAAGTGAAATCTTGGAATAGAGTTCATAATAAGAATTAGAAATGGGATTTGACTTGTCATCAAGCTAATTAATGAATAGGAAGTATTAGAATTCAAATTAGAACATGTTGGAAATTGAGTGAGATTCTTAAATTCCATATGGAGGATTGGATTTCTAAGTTTTAGAAGTATTGAATGGATAATAATTAGTTTAAGTAAGTGTATGCAAGTTAGGGATATAAAAGAGGTGAATTATGAAGTGTTGAGGGGATTATAAAGGGATTTCGTGCTAAAAATGACATTTCTGGGCTATGTGCATCGATGCATATTCAATGTGTACCGATGCATTAAGGATAAATCCCAAAATTATTTAAGGTATATCGATGCACATGAAGTGCATCGATGCACTAATTTAAAATAAAAACATCGAATTCCATCAGTGTATCGATGCACAAGTAGTGCATCGATGCACCCCCTTAAATACAAACATCGAATAAGATTTCTGTATCGATGCATAGATAGTGCATCGATGCACCCATCAAGGGATGCATCAATACATGGTGTAGTGCATCGATGCATACCTTCATTAAAAGATGAAAATGGCTTTTGTTTTTGCCCAAGAAATGATAGTTTAGAATATATTAATTAATATGTTGATAAGTATCAATGAATTACTATGTAGATACAAGCCTAAACAAGTTCCAGAACAATTGCCTAGTAAGATCAATCGAGGAAAAAACAAGGAAATATAGGTGAGGCGTATGTATAACATGATTAGCGATATATTCAGTTCTAGACTTGTGAGAAGTCTAATTCAATACATTGATGCATGATTCATTTCATATTGTGAAGCATGATATGAATTCATACTATGTGCATTGTGTAACATGTTTAAAATTAATATGTATGCAAAGTTATATGAGCCATGTGATGAAGGTAAGGAAATGATATGTTTATGTGATATATTATATAATTTGGGGAAAGCCCATGTTTTGTGGATGAGAACTATAGGTATAGTTGGCATGCCAAGAATAGAGGGTCTACGCAGTCCTTCGGGACATATATGTATTCTTTGGAACATGTGTGAGGTCTTTTGAGACTCATACTTGAACATTGACATATGTATATGATTCTTAAGGAATTATCTATGTGGTCCTTAGGGACAATCTTATATGGCACTACGGTGCCATTCTACGCGTCACTTCGGTGCAATTCTACGTGGCACTTCGGTGCATTTATACGAGCTGTGGTGACAGAATAGTACACAACCTCACAGTACTTATATACCTTAGGTTCTCAGTATGGTATCATGGGCCAATAATCTTATTAATATGAATTCATGAATGTTAATATACTATGCTTACAGGTAAGGAACATGGTGATATAAACTGCATGGTTAAGTATTTGATTTCATCTCATTCTATTTTATTATGGCATTTCCATTACATTTCTTTGTTGTCATTATTATTATATTGTCTCACTAAGTCGATGACTTAGCGTGTGAGTGTTTCATACATAGGATCCGAGAAAGTAGACGAGACAGGTTAAGCAGCTGGACAACACTACTCCTACAACTATCAGATCAGAGACAACTTAATCAGTAGGTCCTTTTATTATGTAAATGAATATTGGCATGTAATCAAAGGGTCAAGTTGTGTATGCTCTGAGTATTTTGATAAACTTGTATTAACATATGTATATTATTATATTTTAATAATATAAGTTCAAATGTTTTATCATTTTTTAAGAGTATTGTTTTGTTTAGTCAATGTGACATCCTGGACTCGTATCCGGGTCGGGTATGGGTTATGGGTGTTACATTTAATGGTATCAGAGCTATGGTTTAGCCGATTCTATGCATAAACCAGAGTCTATAGTCTTTAAATAGAATACATGCCAACAAATAGTGAGAACTTCTTATCTGGTATAGTATTAGTATGTTGTTTTGCTAATAGAACAATGTGTTTATTTTATTAGATGTCCGGACATAATAGCTCCCGAAGTGAAGCGGGAGAAGATAGGCCTGCTGAAAGTAGTAATTCACCTGCCCTGGCCAGGCAAGGTGAAGGACATGCATCTCAGGGAGTGCTGTACAAGACCAAGACATTTTCTTCAGGACGTTGGACGCTATTCTAACGCGTCTTCAACCTCCTTTCCCACTAATTCAAAGAATGAATGTAGAAAAAGAGTTGAGAAGTTTGGGGGCTCCCAAATTTAAGGGAGAACTAAGGAAGGTCTGGTTGCGGCGGATCTTTGGTTAAATGATTTGAAAATCATGTTGGATGGTCTCCACTGCTTTGAAGTGGAGAAGTTAGATGGAGTTGTCTCGTTACTGAGGGGTCAGGCGAGAATATGGTGGACGAACGTCACCATG